CTTGTAAGCATCCTCATCCTCCTCCTTCAAGGAACGCATGTACTCAGCAACGTGCTTTCCGAAGATGCGGTCACGGTGAGCCTCAGCATCGTACTTCTTTGATTCGGAATCATAACCGAAGAATCGGTTTTCGCTGTAGCAATATCATGAAGTTAACGAAAATCACTCCGCCAATGCAAATCTAGATTTTAAAAAAAGACCAGGATGATATGAAAATGGAATTACGACCGAATGTTCGTAAGATAAAAAATAAAACATAAATGGAAATACCATACCTGTGAGGAACTTCGATTCCACCATCAGCGACTCCCTTCATGACTGCGAAAACCTTGCAGCCAGTGGTGGTACGAGCCAAGCCAACATCGAGCACTGCTTTGAAAGGAGAACGACCGTCTTCCTCTTCTACGGTGAAGAACTCACCGTTGACCTGTAGCCAATTGTTTAACTAGATATCAGAGAAAGCACCTAAGCAAAGCTCACATCTTCTTGTCCTTTGAAGCTATTATCTAGCTTCAAGTTCTTTAAATGACGGCGGGCAAGCAGGAGGCCAGTAGCGTATCCGGCGGCGTAGTTGGTCAGACCAACCTGGAAAAACGGTCTTCAATAAAATGTAGAAGCTTAAATGATGTTTCTCACCTTGATGCCGAAAGCTGGAAGCTCATGCGAGTAGGCAGAAGCAACGATCACGTCCCCCTCAATCTTAGAGTACGCAATCTAAAGCTTATTATTTCAATACGTCTTAAGGTGAACAGACGTTCCACATATCATAAGACGAGTACATTAAGTAACTAGTTATCAAATGGGAAAAAAAACCATACCTGAGCAATCACGTCCTTGTTAGTGAAACGCACAATAAGGCGGTATTTGGGCGTGTTATACTTGTTCTTATCTTGGACAGTGAGTCTCTTTCTCGCATAGTAGTCAGTCTTTCCTTGTCGTCTTCGCTTTAACTTCACTTGATAGCGCTTGAAGTAAGCCTTGTTCTTTACGACTTTGACAAGACCCATGATACCCTGCAAAAAGGCAAGAGATCCATCCGAAAACCGTAAAATTGAAGGAGGATTTAAAATCCCTGATGCCATGAAAAAGAAGTACTGGAAATGGAGTTGAAATCATCAAAAGACCGAAAGAAAACGTAGAAGAAATGAATTTGTGAATAACAAGATGTACGTATAACACCTCATGACGCCGTACATTGGAATGCTTACAATAACTGTTGACACTCCCATGATAGTGGCGAAAGGATCTTATTCACTGCCAACAATCAATGGAGAATCACGACGATACTTGTTATCCACAAAAATTGACATTTGATTAAAGGGCAAAACAATGCAAACAAAGTAGAACGAAAGATAAAAAAAAAGCTGCAATGATACTCATCAGATGCTCAAGGCAAATGCTCCCGTGCAACTTGACTAGGCTTGAGGGCAGCGGAAACTTCAAAATTTTTATTGACAGCATTAATTTGGCAAATCTCCCTCTACTTATGTCAGCGGTTATATCACTAAAAAAACATGACTTACATGACTAAGTGAATACTAGAAAGTGAACTAAAGTCAAACATGATAGATAGTAGAGATCCAAAAGCACATGAGAACTAGGTCTTTCTATTCAGAGACCAATGCAAATGCTCCTAGAAATAGTCCAGAAACACAAATCTTCGAAAGCTTTATTATTTCTAGGAATTTCACGAACAAGGAAAATGCAAGTTCGCGCAAAATTGCTGGATTGAGCAATTCGCTGCAGAAAACGTCGAATGCGCAGCCAGGGTCCTGTAAGGAGAAGTACAATTGTGATGGAGCGCGTTTCGAGCGAAACATTCTGCATGATTGAGACTACTTTCCTTTATTATTTTAATATGTAATTAAAGTATTATTATTGTTTCCTTTGAATTCAGTTGGAAATAGTGTCCTTTATTTCCATCTTTCATAAAAATTCTGACGCTATTTTGTAAGGCCCGTGGGTGCGAGTTCTTTATATTGAATGGTCATCCCATCCTCACTGTGGATAACAACCAGAATATCTTTTTAATAAGCTCTAATTGAAAAGGCATAGAGATACAACACAGCTTGAAGAGTAAATACCACTACTACAGCTATGTGAGATTACGAGAAAAGCGAATGAAAATTTAAAAAAGAAATCGTTGCCCGAGGCTCCATGCAGAGTCCTCGAGCCGGCAGGCTCGTTTCTGTCCCTCTCCTCCTCCTCATTCCAGTTTTAGCGGTCCAA